CATTGTTCCTCCCTGTAAAACTTAGTTTAGTTGTGGTGTGCGTCTCTATTATGAGTATAGGTCTCTGTGGGTCTGTATGGGTCTGAGTATGGGTCTCTATGCGTGTCTATGCATCCAGAGTCTTTGTCTGCTGCTATCAATGTCCCCGTGATGATGATTATATCAGTCACTTGGTTGAGCTGCTATGATTATGATAATAGTTTTTTTACCCTTTTATCTGGCAACAAAACTGACACCTTTTTTTTTACAAGGAGTTATGTTTGCATAGACCACAATACCTGCAGTCGTAATGCAAACAAAAAACATAACTCTGATAATGATATGCACTGTCCTTGAAGTTGATTGGCCCACATCCGAGACAGCTTTTCTTAGAGTCGAGTCTCACATGGTGTTGGACCAGAAAAAAAGTGTCAGTTTTGTTGCCAGATAAAAGGGTAAACATTTTTTTTTTAATCATATTTTGCTACTGGCAAAGGAGGTTCCATGAGGCTGCTATGATTAGTGATGGCCCAGCCTCGATTCTAAAAAGGAGCTAAGTAGCTCAGGGAGCTTTAACTGGTACAAAACAAAAAATGTTTCGCGTTTCTTCTTTTTTCAAAGGTGCGTGCCGGCCTTCATAGGTGCTCCTCGATAACTGCACATGCCCCAAAAGTCTTTTGAGGCTATACAGGCGGGATCTTTGTCTTTGAACTGATTTTAAATATATTGACCGTGCTGAGTCTATGGGCAGTGTAGAGTTTAAATCTTGACTTAAAGCTTTCGTGAATGCAGGAATTCATCTTCTTGGTTCTTTCGGTAAAGTCACGTAGAAGGGAAATAATAAAAGAATAAAAATTAAACATAATAAAATACAATTCTCACGACGTTTTGGCCACAGCGCAAGCAGCCGTCCTCAGGTGAAGAACAGGGCTGTCGGAAAGACAGCGTCCGAAGGACGACAGACCTGTTCTTCACCTGAGGACGGCTGCTTGCGTTGTGGCCGAAACGTCGTGAGAATTTTATTTTTATCATGTTTTATTTTTATTTTATTATTTCCCTTCTACGTGATGACTTTACCGAAAGAACCAAGAAGATGAATCCCTGCAGTCACGAAAGCTTTAAATAGAAATCTATGGGCAGTGTTGAGTCTATGGAGTTTGTAAATAGTCACTCCGTGTGACGTACCGTGTGACGTACTGTGGAGCGGGCATGACAAAACACGCGCACGTTCTTAGGCGCCTTGACGGGCACAGAGAATAGGAAATGTCACGATCAGCTGATTTGTAAAAAACGTTTGCAGATTGCAAACAGATTCCTTGAATACCCCAAAGGAATCGATGTTCCTGTTTGTTCGACTTACAGGGCCGTACATGCCCAATCACACCTCCTCTTTGTCACACAAAGACAAACATCGCTCGCACAGCCTTCACAGACTGTTAGTAGTGAGTAGCAGCACCTACTAAGGCCGGCACGGCACGCGAGGGGGTGGGTGGCCAGCATCACGCCTGCCCGGCCGCCTTTGTCTCCCCAGCGGTGACATTTACAGGTCTCTGTGTGAGTCTATGCGTCTCTCTGTGTCTGGGTCTCTATTTGAGGCTAAGTTGACCTAGGGGATTCCCCAAGACCGGGGTCAGACAATCGTTACTGCTGTTGGTGGTGTTGGCCATGAGCTGGAATCGAACTCGGGTTTCTCCCGGGCTCGGAGTGCAGCGCTAACCGCTGCGCCACCGCTCTCCGCTCACCACACTCACACACTCACACACACACAACAACACCCGCCATTCGCCATTAAGTGGTGGTGACGTCACCACGACGCTTGTGCCAGGCTATGTGCACCTTGAGGCCACGTGAAGTGTCGAACGCCCGCTGGCAGGAGGTCACGGGGCAGACCCAGCAGGTGCCACGGGTCGACTGACTGAGATGACCGAGATGACTGGCTGATGCACCACCTGTGCCCCCTACTGTGGCAACTTGCTGTGCTTTAGCCACCCGGCGCTCCGCTCGTTGTTGTGAGCGTCGCTCCTCCGCCCTCCGTTGTTGTTGGAGGGCGACTGCCTCCAACTGTCCAGTAGCGTCCTTCACGAGCCTCCTCCACAGAGGACGATCTTGACACCGCTGGTACCAGTCATCAGCAAGTCCACTCAGCTCCACGTCCTCCTGTACCACATCATTCCATCTCTTCTCTAGCCCGTGCCACGTCCGTTTAGTCCACTCGATCCGGCCGAACAAAAGCTGTTTGGGCATGCGGTGGCTGGGCATGCGGGCTACATGACCCATCCAATGCAAGCTTGCTTGCCGGAGGAGCTCACCGATGGGACTTTGCCCAGATCTTTCAAGGATTTGTGAGCTCCTCACACAATCCAGCCTGGTTAAAACCAGGATGGATCGTAGGCAGGCCAGTCTAAATGTTTCTAACCGGCGAAGATGCTCCATTGGGGGGGTCCACGTTTCGCAATCGTAGAGAAGGGAGGGAATGACCGTGGCCGAGAAGACCTGAAGCTTCGTGCGGAGCGACAGACCAGGTAGCTTTCACACAGCGTTACGTAACCGATGAAAAGATATTGCCGCTCGACTGATTCGAAGTGAGACCTCCGCTGTTAAACCAGAGCCGGTCATGAGCACACTGCCCAGGTATGGGAAACTCTCCACTCTCTCCACTACTGCCCCATCACCGATTGGGAGTTGTGGGGGTGAAGTGTCTGATGGTACAAAATACCCAGGCAGGTGCTTAGTTTTGGTGGGGCTGATGGTAAGGCCCCACCTCTTATTGGCACGCTCCAGTTGCAGCAGCAGCGCCTCCAACTCCTCTGAGTGAGCAGCTATTACCAGATCATCGGCATACCTAACGTTGTTGAGCAATAGGGAGCCATCCCTTAACCGCACCCGGGCATCGATCAGCCTCCCATTATATCTGTACACACACTCTCACGCTCACACACTCACGCGCATTGAGAGTTGTGTAAACACGGCCATCGTAAACCTCACTCATCTGCAGTTATGAAAGGGAGAGAGAGACCCTGACCCAGGACTTGGAACTCGTAATTACATTTATGAGTGGTAAAACATCTCCATACTGTGCTGTTGGTGGCCAGCTACCAAGGTGAAGGTTGCATTCTGTTTGTGAGTCTGTGGGTCTCTGTGTGAGTCTGTGGGCCTCTATGTGAGTCGGTGGTCTCTGTGTGAGTCTGTGGGTCTCTGCGTGAGTCACTGGGTCTGTGTGAGTCGGTGGGTTTCTGTGTGAGTCGGTGGGTCTCTGCGTGAGTCGGTGGGTCTCTGCGTGAGTCGGTGGGTCTCTGTGTGAGTCGGTGGGTCTCTGTGTGAGTCGGTGGGTGGCCAGCACCACGCCAGGCCTTCATAGGCGCTGCTGCTGCCACTCGCTAACAGCACTTGCCCCAACATCATGTTGAGGCTATAAGGGGGATCTTTGTCTTGTTTGCGTGTTATCTATTGCGCGTGTGTGTGAGTGTTGCCTCTCCAACTAAGTGTTGCAGATGGTTTATCGGAGTTTGTAGTTTTATGGATTGTTTTATAGTTGAGTGAAGGGCGATGTAACGCCTTGCACGTGGACTGTGTTCGTGCCGTAATTAACGACACCCTGAGACTCAACACTGCTCTCAGACTCAGCACTGCTACCTATAGACTCAGCACTGCTACCCATAGACTCAGCACTGCTACCCATAGACTCAGCACTGCCATAGACTCAACACTGCTACCCATAGACTCAACACTGCTACCCATAGACTCAACACTGCTGCCCACAGACTCAACACTGCTGCCCACAGACTCAACACTGCTACCCATAGACTCATCACTGCTACCCATAGACTCAACACTGCTACCCATAGACTCAGCACTGTCACCCATAGACTCAACACTGCTACCCATAGACTCAGCACTGCTACCCATAGACTCAACACTGCTGCCCATAGACTCAACACTGCTACCCATAGACTCATCACTGCTACCCATAGACTCAGCACTGCTACCCATAGACTCAGCACTGCCACCCATAGACTCAGCACTGCTACCCATAGACTCAGCACTGCCCATAGACTCAACACTGCTACCCACAGACTCAACACTGCTGCCCACAGACTCAACACTGCTGCCCACAGACTCAACACTGCTGCCCACAGACTCAACACTGCTACCCATAGACTCATCACTGCTACCCATAGACTCAACACTGCTACCCATAGACTCTACACTGCTACCCATAGACTCAACACCACGCTACCCCATAGACTCAACACTGCTACCCATAGACTCTACACTGCTACCCATAGACTCAACACTGCTACCCATAGACTCAACACTGCCACCCATAGACTCAACACTGCCACCCATAGACTCAACACTGCTACCCATAGACTCAACACTGCTACCCATAGACTCAACACTGCTACCCATAGACTCAACACTGCTACCCATAGACTCAACACTGCTACCCATAGACTCAACGCTGCTACCCATAGACTCAACACTGCTACCCATAGACTCAACACTGCTACCCATAGACTCAACACTGCTACCCATAGACTCAACACTGCCACCCATAGACTCAACACTGCTACCCATAGACTCAACACTGCTACCCATAGACTCAACACTGCTACCCATAGACTCAACGCTGCTGCCCATAGACTCAACACTGCTACCCATAGACTCAACACTGCTACCCATAGACTCAACACTGCCACCCATAGACTCAACACTGCTACCCATAGACTCAGCAGTGCCCCTGTACATGAAGCAGTCCCCCTCTTTAGCCTCCTTCCATTCCTCTCTGAGAGCCTCCTCCCCTCTTCCCCATCGCCCATCCGCCTCCTCTTCTCCCATCTCAACACTCCACTCCGTCCCCCACGTGACCCCCACGTGACCCCGACGTGACCCCCACGTGCCCCCCACGTGACCCCTGCTCCAGTCACTCCACCCTCAGCCTCGCTCAGCGCTTGCCCCAACAGCTGTTACAGGCTGCACGTGGTGGTGGTGGTCGTGGTGGTGATGATGGTGCTACTTACCAATTAAGGCTAGTAGGAATATTGGTAATGTTGTTGTTGTTCCGAGTCGAGAATTCACGGCCATTTCTTTACGAATGGAGGACAGGAATTCTGTAAAATGAACAAGTTACAAACGATTTACAAATTAATTCATCGTTTGGCATGAGGGTCACATCTCCTCACTTTACCGCGCGGCAAGACTCGTCAACACGAGACAGGGAATCTTCTTGGTTCTTTCGGTAAAGTCACGTAGAATGGAAATAATAAAATAATAAAAATAAAACATAAAATAATATATTTTATTAGGTTTAATTTTTATTATAATAAATAATAGATTTTATTATGTTTTCTTTATATTATTTCCCTTCTACGTGACTTTACCGAAAGAACCAAGAAGATGAATCCCTGCAGTCACGAAAGCTTTAAATCGAGACAGTGAATCTCAATAGGAGCTCTCTCTCTCAGCTGGTGGTTAAATAAAGGACGTCAATCACAAGGGACAATTCATCTCAATGGAGTTTGCATCACAGCGCAGTCCAATCGGTTCCCCAGCTGGTTCAAGTTCAAGTTCATTGATTAGGTATAGCCCTGTGAGCCATTCGGCTCTTGAATCGGGTCCAACCGCAACAAACAAAAAAACAAAAACATGAACAAGAAACATCTTAAAGTGACGATGTTACTAAGTGCAAACAGAAAATCCAAGAAAAGACAGCAAAATGTTGCAGGAAAAGCACCGTACACCAACACTGTGTGCAAGTCAAACAACCAAAACAACCACAAGACAACTTAGATTAAGGCCATCAGTCTAACTCTGTACTCTCTGTACTACAACAAACAAACATGGCCAAACCGCAAAACTTTTCAAAAATCATCAAAATAACAGCCCCGAGCTGGAATCGAACTCGTGTCGCCGGGTTCGTTCCGCTACTCGCTGCCACTGCCGCTCCGCACACACAAAGTGCAAAGATCAAAGTTCTCGACTCGCCCAACTGCACAAAGACAAAGATCACCCACGTAGCCTCTAACAGACTGCAGGGGCAAGTGCTGTTAGCGAGTAGCAGCGCCTGTGAAGGCTACCGGCACTGTGGCACACGGGGGGGAGGGTAGCCGGCACCACGCCCGGCCGCCTTTGTCTCCCTAGTGGAGATGTTTACGAACATTTGAGGCTGAGTCGACCTACACACACATCGCCTCGCACGCTTTGGGATGTGCTTCTGCGGCCGTCTGGAACGCTCTTGCTTGCGATATTGGGAAGCCACTTTAAAATCATCTCGATTGAGCACTCATTTTTTTAGAACTGAGTGCTGTTGCTGTGCTTAGATTGTTGTCCTTCACACGCAACTCCGATGAGCAGCGGTTGGCTACGTACGGTGCGAAAGAAGTCCAACATCCACACCAATACCCGCCATTCGCCACTCTGTGGCGGTGACGTCACCACGACGCTTGTGCCAGGCCATGTGCACCTTGAGGCCACGTGAAGTGTCGAACGCCCGCTGGCAGGAGGTCACGGGGCAGACCCAGCAGGTGCCACGGGTCAACTGACTGAGATGACCGAGATGACTGGCTGATGCACCACCTGTGCCCCCTATTGTGCCAACTTGCTGTGCTTTAGCCACTTGGCGCTCCACTCGTTGTTGTGAGCGTCGCTCCACCGCCCTCCGTTGTTGTTGGAGGGCGACTGCGTCCAACTGCCCAGTAGCGTCCTTCACGAGCCTCCTCTACAGAGGCCGATCTTGACACTGCTGGTACCGGTCATCGGCAAGTCCACTCAGCTCCACGTCCTCCTGTACCACATCACTCCATCTCCTCTCTAGCCCGTGCCGCGCCCGTTTAGCCCCCTCGATCCGGCCGAACAAGAGCTGTTTAGGCATGCGGTGGCTGGGCATGCGGGCTACATGACTCAGCCAACGCAGCCTTGCCTGCCGGAGGAGCTCACCGATGGGACTTTGCCCAGATCTTTCAAGGATTTGTGAGCTCCTCACACAATCCAGCCTGCAGGTTAAACCCAGGATGGATCGTAGGCAGGCCAGCCTAAATGTTTCCAACCGGCGAAGATGCTCCATTAGGGGGGTCCACGTTTCGCAAGCGTAGAGAAGGGAGGGAATGACCGTGGCCGAGAAGACCTGAAGCTTCGTGCGGAGCGACAGACCAGGTAGCTTCCACACAGCGTTACGCAACCGATGAAAAGATATTGCCGCTCGACTGATTCGGAGTGAGACCTCTGCTGTTAAACTGGAGTCGGTCATAAGCACACTGCCCAGGTATGGGAAACTCTCCACTCTCTCCACTACTGCCCCATCACCGATTGGGAGTTGTGGCGGTGGAGTGTCCGATGGTACAAAATTCCCAGGCAGGTGCTTAGTTTTGGTGGGGCTGATGGTAAGGCCCCACCTCTTAGTGGCACGCTCCAGTCTCAGCAGCAGCGTCTCCAACTCCTCTTCTGAATGAGCAGCTATTACCAAATCATCGGCATACATAACGTGTTTGACCAATAGGGAGCCATCCCTTGATCACACCTGGGCATCGATCAGCCTCCCATTATATCTGTACCAAAAGGAAATTCCCCCGGTACAGCTATTGAAGGCTTCACAAACTACGTGGTCACACTCACACACTTACACACTCACACACTTACACACACACACTTACACACTCACACACTTACACACTCGCACAATTACACACACACTCACACACACTTACTCACACTCACACACTCACACACACTTACTCACACTCACACACTTACACACTTACACACTCACACACTTACACACACACTCACACACTCTTACTCACGCTCACACACTTGCATACACTTACTCACACACTTACACACTCTCACACCCACACACTTACACACACACTTACACACTCACAGAGTTAAATCCTCACCGTTGTTAGGCAAGTCACAGCTCCGTGGGGTGAACGATGATGATTCGATGCACGCGTTGAGTGGCACCTCTGAGTGTGTAGAGTGTGTGAGTGTGGCTGTCACCTCTGCGTGAGTTTCATAGCACAGTGGGTGGTGCTACACTCTGACAGCCCAATGGGTGCTTCACCCCCCACCCCCTCTCCCTTTCCGTGTTAGACGACTGTGACTCACAGAAGGAAGTGAGATGACTTTGGGGTTCTCTAGTCCAAGGAGTGGGTGGGGTGCTGCACAAACAAACGTCACAGATGTTAACTTTATTGTTTGGGTCTTTCGGTAAAGTCACGTAGATAGCTTAAAAGAAAATAACAAAAAACTAAAAATAGTTTCGATCGCTTGTGTTGCGATCGAAACTTCGTAGTTTTTGTTATTTTCCTTGAACCTATCTACGCGACTTTACCGAAAGACCCGAAGAATGTGAATTCCTGCAGTCAACAAAAGCTTTAAGTCAAGAGATGTTAACCACCTCGCCTGGTGTACAGGAGGTCGTGGCTTCAATCCCGACCCTGACGCCTGCTGCTGTATATTTGGAGTTTGCGAGTTACTCTCCCCGTAGTCGCGTGGATTGTCTCCACGTCCTCCGGGTTTCCCCTCCACATTCAGCATCGATGTCGCCACGAGTTTGGCTGCTGCTGCTATCAACGTCCACGTGGTGGTGATAACATCACGTGGTGGTGATGACATCAGCCACGTGGTTGAGCTGATATAATTAGTGATGGCCCAGCTCGCTTCTGATTAAAGAGCTGCACAACTCAGTGGGGTCTGACACCTGCTAACAATGAACATAGTTTAGTTGTAGTGTGGGTCTATGGGTTTCTATGGGTCTCTATGGGTTTAGAGCATTTGGCTGGCGTATAAATGTCCGCGTGATGATGATGATATCGGCCACGTGGCTGGGCTGCTGTCATTAGTGATGGCCCAGCTCGCTTCTGATACAATATCTACACAGCAGCTGAGTGGAGTCTTACACCTGGTGACGTAAACTTAGTTTAGTTGTAGTGTGGGGCTCTGTGGGTGTCTATGGGTCTCTGTGGGTCTCTATAAGTATGGGTCTCTGTGGGTCTCTATAAGTATGGGTATCTGTGGGTCTCTATGGGTCTCTATGTGTATGGGTCTCTGTGGGTCTCTATGAGTATGGGTCTCTATGAGTATGGGTCTCTGTGGGTGTCTATGGGTCTCTATGAGTATGGGTCTCTGTGGGTGTCTATGGGTCTCTATGAGTATGGGTCTCTGTGGGTGTCTATGGGTCTCTATGAGTATGGGTCTCTGTGGGTCTCTGTGGGTGTCTATGAGTATGGGTCTCTGTGGGTGTCTATGGGTCTCTATGAGTATGGGTCTCTGTGGGTGTCTATGGGTCTCTATGAGTATGGGTCTCTGTGGGTGTCTATGGGTCTCTATGAGTATGGGTCTCTGGGTCTCTGTGTGTGTCTATGGGTCTCTGAGTATGGGTTGTGGGTGTCTGGCTCTCATTGGGTGTCTATGGGTCTCTATGAGTATGGGTCTCTGTGGGTCTCTATGGGTCTCTGAGTATGGGTGTCTATGGGTCTCTGAGTATGGGTCTCTATGAGTGTCTATGGGTCTCTGTGGGTCTCTATGAGTATGTGTCTCTGTGGGTCTCTATGGGTCTCTGAGTATGGGTCTCTATGAGTGTCTATGGGTGTCTATGGGTCTCTGTGGGTCTCTATGAGTATGGGTCTCTGTGGGTCTCTATGGGTCTCTGAGTATATGTCTCTATGAGTGTCTATGTGTGTCTATGGGTCTCTTTGTATTTCTGCTGCTATCAATGTCCACGAGGTGATGATGATGATGAGATCAGCCTCTTGGCTCAGCTGATATCACTTCTGATTAAAGCTACACAGCAGCTGAGTGGGTTCTTACCTGGTCATCTAAACATCGTTTAAGTATTCATTTCGTGACTGCAGGGATTCATATTCTTGGTTCTTTCGGTAAAGTCACGTAGAAGAGAAATAATAAAATAATAGAAATATAGAACAATAAAAATTATCACACCTGATGATGATTGCTTGTGTTGCAGTCGAAACGTCGTGAGAATTTTTATTGTTTTATATTAATATTATTTTATTATTTCCCTTCTACGTGACTTTACCGAAAGAACCAAGAATATATAGTTTAAGTATTTTAGTAAAAACTTAAACTCATCACGGGAAGCCTCAGAATCTTTATCTGAGACCAGAAGAATCCGATGAGCTATGAAGTCCTTTTGTGCACAGATGTCCAGTACCTGTGTAATGCGGGTGTAAACGGCCCTCCGGAGGTGCCGTCATGAGGGGAGGAGTTAGGTCACGTGGGGGGGTGAGGGGTTGAGTATAGAAGGAGGGGAACCGGAAGAGGATGGGGAGTGACGGGGAACCAGGAACAGAGAGAGGCCACGAAGGGCGAAGCGGAGGGTGGCGAGATCGCCACGAACACGGGGGAGCGAGGATCGGCACCGTTGGCCAGCGGTGACCGACCCGAAGCAGCGAGGAGGCTGCAGTCAGCAGCGGGGCTGCATACAGAGTCAGCAGCGGGTCTGCATACGGTAGCAGCCAGAGGGTCTGCACATAGGGGTAGCAGCGGGAGTCTGCATAGAGGTAGCAGCGAGTCTGCAGGGAGGAGGTTACAGTAGATGAAGCAGAGAGTCAGAGGGAAGAAGGAGCTATAATAGCAGTGAATAGCCGGGGGCTACAAATACAGAGTTATAACAGAGTGCCGTGTGGGTGAGAACGAGAACCCAATAAAAGACACGAAGACAGAAGGAAGTGTCCGAGTCCTTTTATTACACCTGCACTAGGTCAGAATGTTACAACAACAAACTGACGATCGGAGTGCAAAGCAGAGGAAAGGTAAACCAATCAATGGAAAAATATCCAAATAAAAATAAACTTTATAGTTGTTTATCTTACCAGGTAGGGTCCACTCAGCTATTAGCTTCTTTTTCAGAAGCGACCACGGTGCACATGTAGTGGTGTTTATTCACGCGGACAACTTTTTTTCCTGTGTCACTTTATTCGAAGCATCCCACACAGATCCTCCTCACATTCCACCACACTTTTCTCCCTCTCTGGCTCCGCTAGCCTGTTCTCCGCTAGCCTCTTACTGTATACTCCGCTAGCTTCTCACCCCACTAACCTTTCACTGAATCTCCTGCTAGGCTGTTCTCCGCTTGCATAACACACTCAGGATTCTGCAAGCCTCTCCCCCGCCAGCCTGTTACTACACCCACACCTCCAACCTCGCCCGTGCCCCCAGCGGGGGTTCAGCCAACACCGCTGGTCATTCACCAAGTGAGACAGCATCCCCGAGATCGTGTGGTTAAAGCGGTCTACCATCCCGTCCGTTTGTGGGTGGTAAGGGGACATCTGCACTTTCTTGACCCCCAGCATGTCACACACCTCCTGCAAAAGCTTGGAGGAAAAGTTTCTGCGCTTGTCCTCCAGCAGCCGCTCAGGAGCCCCCTTGTCAGCTACATATCCATTTACAAAGGCGCCCGCTATCGACGACGCAGTCTGGTCGGCCAATGGGCAGGCAAATGGCCAGCGTGTAAAATATTCCATCCCCACCAGTAGGTGTCTACTTCCTTGAGGAGTGGCGGGGGAAGGGGCCCAATATATCGAGGGCCACGAGCTCGTTTACCCACGGAACTTTAATGGACTGCAGGAGTGCGCTTCGCGTGACCGGCGGGGGCTTCCTGTGAGCACAGTCAGCGCACGCCGACACCCCACGGTGGATATCGGCGGATATGCCCAGCCAAAAATAGCGAAGGCATAGTGTAGCCTTGGTCTTACGGCTACCGAGATGCAAAAACTGTCGGGCATGAACATCGGAGCATAGCTGAATCGGCAGGGAAGAGGGCACCACCAGGACTTTACGGTTCACAGTCGCGTCCCAGCGCATCAACAAGCCTTCCAACGTGAGGGAAAACTTCCCCGACGTAGGTAGATCGTCAGCGCGTGCCGCCTCTGCCAGCCGGCAAAGCGGTGCCAAAGCCGCGTCTGCCTGCTGCCGATCCCTCCATTCCCGCAGGGTGAGCCCCAAGTCGCTATCAAGCGATACCGGCGGCCCCGCCCAGTTCGTGTCCCCGGCGGAAACCGGCACCACGATCTCGAGTTACGCCGCAGCCGGCGGTCTACAGCGCGCAGATCCATCGCTGCAGGTGCACTTAATGGGGGCTGGCAGCCTGGACAATGCATCGGCGTTTGTATGCCCGATTCCTTTCAGATGCACCGCTCGATACGTGGACTCTTGCAGCCACTGCCTCCAGCAGCTGATCCATACTCCGATCCTTAGAGGATGATCTGCGGCGGTGGTGGCGCTGGGTCTGCACCGCCGGGTTGGTGGAGGAAGGTGCCCACACGGTGCGAGTGTGTGAGGATGGCTTGGACATCCCCTACACAGGCATACCTAGTATAGCGCTCAAGATGCGTTCTTGGTAAACAGTTGCTATAAGCGGTATGCCTGTATTTCCTACCAATAGAGGTAAGTCGTCATTGTAGCCATCACAATGACCCATGCTTGTTTCTGGGGTCAACATTCTTGCCGTTAACCCAAAAACAACTCAGCATCGTTGTGTTGGCTTTGGAATCTACGTTGTCGGGTTTTGCTGAAAAACATCTACGGAGACATGTGGGTAAATGGGGATAACGGGGTTTGGTTCACGGTTCCGAACGCGCGATAGAAGACAAAATGGCGCGCGATAGAAGACAAAATGGCGGGCGAAATAAGACAAAATGGCGGGCGGCTGAACGTCACTGCCTCCTCACTCGAGGCTGGAAACACCACGTGACCCGGAACCCCCAATGGGCCGCTTGAGAGAAGAGACGGGAGACAAGATGGAGACAAGATGGAGACAAGACGGAGACAAGATGGAGACAATACAGAGGCAAGATGGAGATAAGATGGCACTGCGTGCGTTCCTCCACGGCAGCAGCAGCATCATCGCGAGCAGTATAGTTATGACGCGTACAGAAATCTCGTGATCATCCACAGCGCTAAGATCGGCGAACTCTGTAGCTCAATAGCCTTGGCACGAAACGGCAAAATCGCGATAGCTAAACCCGCGAGAGCGAAGAGTTTGATGTACTCGAATGTAAAAATACACTTTTTTTCACAGAATATAA